AGCCAGATATGTTGAATGGTTGTCGAATATTGTGCCAGTACTAAAAAAGAATGGTAAACTAAGGGTGTGTATAGACTTTAGGAATTTAAACATAGCTACACCCAAAGATGAGTATCCAATGCCCACGGTGGATTCTTTAGTAGATTCAACTGCCGGACACGTCATGTATTCTTTCATGGATGGGTATTCAGAATACAATCAAATTTATATAGCTGAAGAAGACATACACAAAACTCCCTTTAGATGCCCTGAGTCTCTAGGATGTTTTGAATGAGTGGTTATGCCTTTCGGCTTAAAAAATGTAGGGGCAACTTATCAAAGGGTAATGAATTTAATCTTTCATGATATGATAGGCAAGTTCGTTGAGGTGTATGTAGACGACATAGTAGTCAAATCCATTAAAGAAGAGGACCATTTCGAACAGTTAAGATGTTCGTTTGAACGAATGAAGCAATATAAGCTAAAGTTGAATCCCTTGAAGTGTGCATTTGGTGTTAATGTAAGGAAATTTCTTGGTTTCTTAGTACACAAGAGAGGGATTGAACTTGATAAAAATAAAGCGAAGGCTATCTTAGAAGCCAAACCACCTAGCAACAAAAAGGAGTTGCAAAGGTTTCTAGGCCAAGTAAATTTTTTAAGACGCTTTATTTCTAACTGTGCAGGGCGAACTAAAGTCTTTTCGCCGCTATTAAAGTTGAAAAATCAGGACGAATTCGTCTGGAAAGAAGAACATCAAAAGGCTTTTGAAAGCCTGAAGACATATCTATCAAATCCACCAGTGTTGGTGTCACCAATCCAAGGACGGCCAATGAAAGTGTATGTATCAACTGAAAAAGAATCAATAGCTGGAATGGTCGCACAGGAAGACCAATTTGGTGAAGAAAGGGCGATTTACTATTTAAGTAGACTGTTAACGAAATGTGAATGTAATTACTCTGCTATTGAAAAATTATGTCTTGCATTGTATTTCACATGTACAAAATTGAGGGCTTATTTACGGTCCGTAACCGTTTATTTAATTTCTAAAGTAAATTTAGTTAAGTATATGTTCTCGCGCCCTATTTTACACCAAAGGGTAGGCCTTTGGACGCTAACTTTATCAGAATTTGAAATACAATATATACCTCAAAAGGCAGTCAAAAATCAGGCTTTGGCTAACTTTCTAGCCGATCATCCATGCCTTTACATGCCTGAAGAAATCGAACTAGAAATCAATTCGTTCGAGTTAAAACCTTTGGTGTTGTATTTCGATGGGTCAAAAACCTCTAAAGGTGCAGGAGTAGGAGTAGCATTGATTAATCCTTTAGGGATTTGCTACAAGTTTGCATTCACCTTAGACAGAATATGCACCAATAATCAGGCCGAATATGAAGCCTTAATTGTAGGCCTAGAACTAATGATAGATATGGGAGTAAGAAATGTGATCGTTAGGGGCGATTCTCAATTGGTGATCCATCAATTGATCGGTGATTTAAAATGTCAAAGTGATTCCATTATAAGTCAATACGAGATCGCCCAATAATTATTAGAAGAATTCGATCAAGTAGAACTCCAATGCGTTAATATGATATATAACGACATGGCAAATGAGTTAGCCCAAATGGCATCAGGGTACTCAAAGGTTTTGAATTGGAAGTCTACTTGTGAGTATGAAATCATATTACCTGTGATTCAAAGAAGGGCAAGAAAGATTGAACTCCACTGCATACAAGATGGAGATGCAATGGATTGGAGAGCAGAAATTAAAGGGTTCCTTAAAGAACCTAATGGAAGGATTAGTAGGAAAATGAAGTTGTGTTTGCTGAATTACACACTAATAGATGAAGAGTTGTTTAAGAAACGCTCTGATGGTGTACTACTAAATTGTGTAAGTTTGCAAGAAGTCAAGACGATCATGGCTAAAGTGCACGAAGGAATATATGGAGCTCATTAAGCTGGCCAAAGGATGAGATGGAACGAAGTTTTGCAGGGTTACGTAGCAGGGAAGCAAAAGGTGAACAGTAAATCTTGAGAGAGACGCGAAAAATTTGAGGCGTGATTTAGTGGTGCAGTGAAATGGCGTGTTTGGGGGTTATAAGGGTTTGCAAAACGACGCACCTTTTTCAAGTTATAGAAGGAAACAATGATTGAAATTCTCGGGAATTTTGAATGTTACTGGAAACACAAAGTGAATATAGCAAAATTTAATAATTATTATTAATTCTGCCATATTAGGGGATAATTGTTGACACATAAAAATTCAGCCCAAATCGAACAGCCCAAGGAGTGAAGCCCAATTGGAGGATCTCCAAATCAGATAACCCAAAGAACGAAACCCAATCGAACAAATCAAGATGAAGGCCCAAATGAGGAGGCCCAAGAACGCGGTAACGCCATCGCCCAAGATTGCAAGTCGCCCAGAATCTGAGCGAATGGAGTGTCATACAGTCGCCCAGAGCTGTTACTCTATTCTCGCACAAACCTTCAAGTCGCCCAAGGTCTTAACAAACACAAAGCTCGCGCTTATCAAGAAGTGCAGTTATCAAAGCAGTTATTAGAGCAGCCCTATCACGTTCCACGATTCAAGGAATTCAATCGAAAGTGGTTGAACGATGAAGAGTAATGGTAGCAGTTAAAGGAGGCAGTTTTCGTGACAAGTTGGCCATTACGAAGAAAGTTGGCAGTTATAGGACAATCAAGCAGTTTTTAGGGCGGTTGATCACAAAGAGATCGTTCATGAAGTATAAAAGGAATAAAGGACATAGAAGCAGAGGACCGAATCCAAAACTCTCGAACAGAGAACATGTAATTTTCATTTCCTTAGTTTTTAGACTTAAACACTTTTCTTTCAATAACTCGTGTGTTTGCACCCCTTGGAGGCACGTTGTTTTTCATTTCCAATTGTAAAATTCATCGCCAATAAAAGAACACTCGTTTTTGGGACTTTGTCTCAAGAGGTTTTATCCCTTACACAATCGTCTGATCCTTTTTAATTATTAGCGACTAACCCGCGCGAAACAGAAAGCAATTCCTGCTCTTTTTGCTCCATAATGCACTTAAATCTTTACATAACCTTTAGTTTTCTTATTATGTGTTGGTTTTTTATTTTAAGTAAATTATAATTGGACTCGTAGATGTGAATGAATGCCTACGCATTCACCTTTGTAAAGACTTTCAGAGTTTGGAAATTGAGATCATGTTTGGTATAGATTTTTTAATCTTAAATTCATTTTCAATCACTCATTATTTCAATAAAATATTTTTTGCATATTTTTTCTCTACTTTTACCACAAATTCTCTGAAAAAACCTCACTTTTCGCCAAATCTATTCTAAAAAATCTCCATCAAATGGACTTTGAATTCAATAACAATTCTTTCGAGTGTCAACTCAATTGAACACGCTACTTCATTTTTGTTCCATATTTTCATTTATACATGAAAAATTATAAATCGACTCCTAAAATCTATTTCTTATTTCTCTAAGGAAGTAAATCTTTCCGTGCATAATAAAACATGCTTTTAATCTGTCCAATAATTATGAAAATTAACCACCTGTTTGATTCTCATTAAATTAAATTACATGACATTTCATTTTTTTCTCTCTTATTTTCAATCACACAATCTTTCATAAAATAATATTACAATCACTTATTTTTTAAAAAAATACTATTTTTCCCTTTTTTATTTTCAGGTCATGGGCATCAATCAGGGGCTAAATGAGTGCGCTTGAAACTTTTTTTCTTTTTTGTCAAAACTATAATATAACTTGTTTATTTTAGCAGTACGCCGTCAAAAAAAAAAAAAAAAAATTTATGAAGTCGTTACTTTAGCTTGCACGCCGTCAAAATAATTCTTGTATAATATAAAAGCCCTAAAAAAATTCTTTTCTGTTTCTTCTTCAACTATAGATTTCATCGGACGACATGGCCAAAAGATCCTTTAAGTTTGAACACCCTCTTGGTATTTATTTATCCATCCCCACACACATACATCACCGACGATCTGATCGTTTTTAATAACCCTGTTTTTTTTTTTTTTATTGATTTGATTGATTGATTGATTGATTGTGTATGATTGGTTTGGATTACGGTGAAATTTGCCTCTAAAATTGTTGGATTGCATTTTTTTCTTTTATTCCTGTTGATTGGATCATTGATTTGTGCGTGGGTATCGAATTCTTTTTCTCAATCTATGATCCGATGTTAAATAATGTGAATTCGTGCCTCATATGGCGTAATTGGGTACAATATATTTAGTCACAGTATGAGAATATTTATGCCCTTGGATAATATATTGTTACTCTTGTCGCATGAACAGTTTTTTCTCTTTAAAGGCTTGTGAGCCCTGTTCAAAACTCTAACTCTTTTTTTAAACAAGAAATTTATTTCCTGTTGTAGGTGAAATTGAATAAGTACAAAGAATATTTTCCATACGCATGTGATTGAAGGAAATCTTCTACTCTCTATAGCTAAATTATATTTATTGACAATCATTGATTTATTTATTTTTATTCCTTTTCTGTTTATAGATTGTTTGGACCTTTTTTTTTTACAAATTTGGCTCCAAAGACTTCTCATTAATGTATTGTAGAATGAAAATAAAATCTTTGTTTAAATTATGTACTCGCGGAATGGAATATTTAGGAAAGTTGCAAAAGGTCAAACAAGTTGCTATTTATTCTTATTACTTAAAATGCAATTGTATAACATTCTTCTCATTTATATGTCAGCTTAATGCATTTGCCTCTTGCACAATGTGAAGCACAATCGCAGATTTTGAACTGTTTTTAGCACAGTTAATAGAACAAGAAGGCTTTCGTTATTATTGATGCCAAACTAAGAAATAGTTGCACTTATAACTACAATTCTATGCCGTTCAAATTGTTACCTTTGAAGCGATACAAGAAAGCTTGAATGATGCATAAAGCTCTTTCTTACTTTTTAATGTTGAATGATGCATAAAGCTCTTTCTTACTTTTTATTCTTTCGCTCATTGTCCATTATTTTATTTTGTAGATGTTCAGAAAATACTAATTTAAATTATTGCAGAGAGGCGACAGGCAGAAGCTGCCCGTATCAAAGAGAAGTACCCCGATCGAATCCCAGTACTCATCCATGATCTTCAAGATTTTTTTTTTTTTTTTTTTTTTTTTTTATTGGATGGTTGACATTTTTCTCTTGTTAGATGTTCTCTTTTTACCATCTCTATTTCTGCATGTAGGTTATTGTGGAAAAGGCTGAAAGAAGTGACATACCTGATATTGACAAGAAGAAGTTAGTTGTCTTAATTATCTTTTATATACCTGGTCTTTTGTAGTTTATGAGTCATTTGTAGTTATTGATTGTCTACAAGCTTAAGTCATCAGAGTTTCTCTGCTATTCCCTTTCGTTAGTTAATCTTGCATTGAGTTGTAGGCGTACATTCTTGACATTCATTTTATGGATTTGAAAGCTTTAATTACTCACTCTATTGTATGAACTATGACAATGAAGGGATATCGATGCAGCATCAGTTGACTATGACATGCCATAAATGAAGATAGACTGCATTCAAAATTTTGCAATATCTCTCTGTGATGAGTGATAACTGATGCATCTGTATGACACTTGCACATGCTAACATATATTCTGATTATTATCAGCACTGTTAATTATAATTGTTTTTTTTTTTTTGGTGGGGGGGGGGGGGGGGGGGGGATTGTAAAAACTTACTCTTTTTCTTGAGGTTTAAGTTTTGTTACTCACATGTATGTGGTCTGCACCGCCACCCTTTCTTCCCCACCTCCCCTCCACTGGATAAGTCACTTGTATCATGATATGTTTATTCATAATGAATGCAGATATCTGGTACCTTCTGATCTAACCGTTGGGCAGTTTGTGTATGTTGTCCGAAAGAGGATTAAGCTTGGTGCCGAGAAGGCCATATTCATCTTTGTCAATAACATTCTCCCTTCTACTGGTGAGAAGAAATAGCATCATTATAATTGGTTACTCTTTATGCAGTGTTTATTTTTATTTTGATTAAGATATTTCTTTGTTCCATGTGGCAGCTCTCATGATGTCCACGATTTATGAGGACAACAAAGATGAGGACGGTTTCCTATACATGACTTACAGTGGTGAAAACACATTCGGGTCATTCTGAACTGGAAGTCAAGCTTAAGTGCTGAACTATGTATATAGTCAAAGAAATCATGTAAATTCTCCTTAATTATCTATCCTGATGTTATCTTTAATCCAAAGATTGCTTTGTTCTGAATGATGCCTACTTTTTAAATTTGAATGCCTTGATTTGATCTTATACCATTAGATTTATATGTAGAGGGAGATGGTATCCTTTCCCATCAAAGTGTTGATTTCTTTTAATATGCCTTTTGTTGTTTGTGAGAAGACAGCTTGCTTGAAATTTGGATAAAAATACAAGTTTTTGGAACTATAATGTGATAAACATGAGTAGTGGATAAGTGGGTAGTCGTTGGGGGTCTTACGAAATGTGTGGTTAAAAATTTAAAAGTTTTTAACTATGACTATTAAATTATAAGGAGATCATAATTTAAAACAATCAAGCCCTTAAATCGTAAGACCCGATGATGACAAGCCCAAATCTTAGGACATGATGATGATGAACTCAAATCTAAGGACCAAAAATTGAAGGAAAATGAATATTGATTTACCAGAATGTTGTAGTGTGGCCTTTAGTATTTATAGTTGGGTTAAGAGCGGTTGGATTGTAAAGAGGTTATGTTTATGTTATATCTCATGAATTAGGAGTATGTAGTGATGCAACATGTTATATAGACTATTGCACAAGTTGGGTAATCTTCTCTCGATACCTTCGATTTTGTACTTCTTTTACGACCTCGAAACTAGTTAGCTTTTCAGTAAGTTTTTAGGTATTAAGAGATGGATTTCACATACGATGGAACCATAAATCTTTAAAGGGTATGAGTCTAGCCCATGATCTTCAAACGAGTCATTTAAATGTCTAGAAGTTGATAATCTCACATCAATGGAAATAATTAGAATGGTACTTTTGTTTAATGCTTGCGTTTTCCTTTAAAAAATCATTCATTTTCAAAAGGAACGGCCATAGAAATGTCCAAAAATTGCTAGCCTTAATAGACTTGGAACATTTCGAGATCAAATATTCAACTCTTTAAAGCATGGGATTGCATGGTAGCATCCCCCCACATCCCACGTTTAAGGGCTCACGTGAGTCTTTACTGCTTTGTTTTGCATTGAAACACAAGAACTGGGTTTGGTTGATGAAAAAATGAAAATTGACTTTTTTTTTTTAGAAATTCCTTTAAATGCTCTTAAAAATAAATAGCACTGCTGGAGATGCTGTGTATATATTTGTGCGCCCATATAATTGAAAAACAATCAATTTTGAAATGACAAACATGTCATAATCCATCGAGAGATGCTAGTATATGAGGGGGCTCACAAATTTTTTAATCATTGTGGGCCCGAGAGGTGTACACTTGTTTTACAAATTAATTTAAAATCTTTACATGTACTATTAAATAATGGGCAGTTAATGGCCTCCTTATATTGACCTCATCCTTATTTCTTCTGCTGCCACGTTGAAAATTCTTGGAACAATTCAATGTTCACGCAGTCGATGTTAATTAGTTATTGATTGTGTGTGTGTGTGTGTGTATATATATATATATATAAACACACATACAAAGACGCATTCATCGTGTTAAAAAAGTCAAAATACCGGAGGAACTAGAGAGAGCAAAGGGAGAAGATGACTATGCCTTTGTTCAATATCTTGAGCTGCTTCTGTGAACAAGCAGAAAAAAGTCGATATGTATGTGAAGGCGACGTGTGCTATTTGCATGATCCCAAGACGTCTTCAAAAGTCGGGTTGAAGAAGAAGAATAAGAAGAAGAAGGAGGAGCAAGAACGAAGCCTTAGCATTCCGGTTTCGAGTAATTCAACTCGAAAATGTTGAAATCTTCATTTCTTTGCATATTTGATGTAATTAATTAATAATAAAGATCATTTCTTCTTATAAAGAATCTCTTTCATCAAACAGGGAATTAGGTATTCGATGAAGAAAATCATGTTATGACAACCCTTTGACGATGAGTTGTTTTCTTTTATTTGTTTCTTACAAATTTCTCATGAAACTCTTAACCGAGATTAAAAGCTACTCTTTACTTTACGGTTTTAATTAGTTCTCAAACTCAAATTGATTTTCCAGATTATCACATTTTGAAGAAAAAAAGATAGTATGTAAACTCCGATCAGAACCAGCAAGTAGACAACAAAGAAGAAGCTTCTACAAACGATTAAACTCTGATCAAAATGATCATCTTTTGTGTCTTCTGGCTATTATAAAACCTAATCTAAAGGCAGGAAGACGCTTTTGAAATGATTGCCCGGCAAAATAGATAAATCTTCATGTAAATCAGCCTTACACAAATCCTGATGTGCAAATAAATTTTCAGATGGAACTAATTAAGATGTAACCTCTTAACATGATTTGACACGCAATTCACAGTTTGCCTTCGACTCTAAAATGCTGCGTCCTAGAGTTGCAGAGCCAGATCAGGCTGCTGAGAATCAATCCGCACGCCTGATGAGTGTCGACCTGGAGACCCTGGTGACTGGAAACCAATATTCAAGTCTGGAGGAAGCGATTCATGCTTCTGTTTTGCAAGCATTTGTGGACTGAGATTCTGCCAAGGAGACTGTAACTGGAACCTAGACAAGTCAGCAGTTGCCAACTGGGGGAAAACCATTGGCTGATTTTGAAACTGGACTTCACTGCTTACTCTTACAGGCTGAGGACCTTGTGGAACAAAGGCATGAACTGATGTGTTCTTCTCAGGCTGAAAATGCATCCCAGTAGCAGAAAACTCTGGACGAAATCGAGATGCTAGTGGCTGGAGACCATGAGTTGGGTTATACAAGGAATCTGCAGATATCTGGTTCTTCTGTAAATTTGTGCAGTCCCCAGCTTGTCTAAAGCCACCTGCCCCAACAGACATCCATACACGGGCAGCAGCTACAGCAGCATTTGAATCACTAGATGGAGCAGGTGATGAATCTTGAGGTGCACTCAACTGATTTGAGGGTTTCTGTTGATCTGGAGCCTTTTCGGCTAACATTCTCATCAGCTGGACTGGATCACTAAGACCCTGCCCCTGTCCATGGTGATAGTGGGATTCAGTTTTGGTCTTGTCAGACGGTGAACTGGCTATTATATTACTATCCACACTGTTAACCACTTTCCCATTAGGCAGTACTCCAACTGAAATTCCACTAGTTGTTGGCTGTTTAAAGGATCCAGATGTCAAAAGATTCATGTTCTTGGACGCCAACTCCACTGACCTGGAAGCTTCCATTTCTGAACCTTTTGAAATCTGCCTATGAGCAATAATATTAGCTGCGTTTTGATTGGCTAAGGGTGGACTATTCAATTCAGCCAGCTTTATATCCTTTTTCTGGTCAACAAAATTTCCAGGTTGCGAGTTTTGACACTGGTAACTGAGAGTAGCAGAATCAATAGGTTTGATTCCAGGAGAGAAAAAGAAACACGATTTCATTTCAGTACTATTCCTCCTAACCTGCTGTTCTTTGACTGGACCAGAAGTACTGGTAGTAGACATAACAGTAGGTCTGTCTCCAGCATGACCAAATAATGGCAATTTATTTTCTGAGAAAGGCCCCCGAACTGGGTTTCCCATGGGAGAATCTGAGGTTTTGAAGTTTCTCTCAACCTTTCTTCGATCAGTAGTATGCTCTATTTTTGCAAAAAATGTTGGTTC